TAAAAGAATTAAAAAAAAGGTAAATTTGATTTGATATTTCAAAATTCTGACTTTATTCTCGCAATTCCGAGATTATATCTCACAATTCTAATAAGGAAAAACAACTCGTCATTCTCTCTTTTCCCCTCGGGTCTTCTGGCTTTTTTCCCTCAGATTTGACAAACTCGCTATTTTTGAGTTAAGTCGAGTTATAAAGTCCGAATTAGGAGATATAAACTTGCATCTGCGAGAAAAAAAGTCAGAATTGTGAGATAAAATACATGTAAAAATGTTAATAGTAAGGTTTAAATAATATTTCGAATAGTAAGGTTTAAATAAATTTTTTTCTTTTATTCCATGGATTTTACCCATTTACCTCCACTTGTTCCCAGTGTTTTTCTGCAACCACTATGCGAGCGCAGCTGCAAGTGACGTAAAGTGATGTCTACTCTGAATTGGTCTATATCTTATTTACATCGTGTCTATGTGTGGCGTTTAGCATTCAGTGAATTCTTACAGTGTCAATTCTACTTAAGATCGCGTTGGAGTGGTTAAGGCTCACTTTACATCATTTGCCATAGCCCTTTGCACAGCCGGTGTGAAAAACGTGCTTTTTTTTCAGCGTTAGAAAGCTGAAAAAGAAGAGGTAATTCCTGTAGACATTGATAAGGGCTATGCCATAGCCCTTATCAAAGTCTGCATTAAATACCTCTGCTTTTGATTAACGCTCACACCACAAATAAAAGAAAATCATATATGGAAACGTTATCTTGAGGCAGCTCATTGATACCCAGCCACTTGTTTGCACGGATTAAGTTTCATTCACTCATTCATTCATTTGATCGCTTGCATCGTTGTTCGGCATCTCTAATAGTAAGAATCTTCAACTTGGTTCATTCAAGTCAAGGTATTTATAGAGCATCCACAATACACATCGTTTCAAAGCAGCTTCTAGTAAGTTCTGTTACATCTATAATGGCTTAATTCTTTACACTGAGCAGTTTTACTGGGCAATATTACGATATGTAACGATGAATGATCCAGTGTTTGAGATCTAGCTATGTATTCTCCCCTTTAAAAAATAGTAACAATGATAAATGATCCACTGTTTGAGATCTAGTTATGCATTTTCCCCTTAGCCATGATTTTGCTACTCTAACCAAAGTGTTAGCAGTTAGCCTATATCAGTACCACTGTAGTGAAGGAGACTGAATAATGAATATTTGCAGCCTCTCAGACAAACCACAGAGTGATTTTTTTTTTTATTTAAAGAGATTTACATATTAGTCCGTTTTATTCTAAGAGTATGTTAGATGGTTTTCAAAAAATATTAATATTAAGCGGTCGGCTTTTTCTGTGGTGATTTGCGTGTGTTTACACTGTGTGCTCCTGAGCGTGACCTAAAACATGGCGGAATCCAACGCGGAGTGAAGTAGATTCCCATTCTCTATATCAGGGGTGTCCAAACTCGGTCCTGGAGGGCCGGTGTCCTGAAGAGTTTAGCTCCAACCCCAATTAAACACACCTGAACCAGCTAATCAAGCTCTTACTAGGCATACTAGAAACTTAAAGGCAGGTGTGTTGAGGCAAATTGGAGCTAAACTCTGCAGGACCCCGGCCCTCCAGGACCGAGTTTGGGCAGCCCTGCTCTATATGGAATCATCCTGTATTTAAAGGGTTAGTTCAGCCAAAAATGAAAATTAGGTTGTGTTTTACTCACCCCCGAGGCATCCTAGGTGTATATGACAAAAAAAGTGTCTCACACGGCTCCGGGGGGTGAACAAAGGCCTTCTGTAGAGAATCGATGCGTTTTGTAAGAAAATTATCCATATTCAAAACGTAATAATCACTTGAATCTAGCTTGCGCTCACTGTTGTAAACAGAAGCAGTTCTGGGGGAATGACGTATGAGGTCGGCTTTGCGCATGCGCCGCTCAGAAGTGATGCACGCGGAGAGATCAAAACAAAACAACGGTCAAGAATTAGAAGTACAAAACGAGGATTTGTAAAGAAGAATGTCAGAGGATTTCGATATAAGCCAAGAGGAGACTGGTTTTCCTTTGCTAAAGTAAGGAAACTTTGCTTCCTTTGATCCTGTAAACAAACGTTGGTTTTCAGGAGACTCACCGGCGCATGCGCAACGCTAAACTTATACGTCATGCTCCCGGAACTGCTTCTGTGTACAACTGTTGGCGCAAGCTACATTCATGCGAGTATTACGTTTTGAATATGGATATTTTTCATACAAAAACGCATAGATTCGCTACAGAAGGCCTTTGTTCACCCTCCCGGAGCCGTGTGAGAATTTTTTTTATGGATGGGTGATTTATATTTAAGTTCTTTTGGACTGAAGCAATGCAACACCCGCTAAATGGCATTAAACAGCTTGAAAGATCAAAGACAATTTTTAATATAACTCCGACTGGATTCGTCTGAAAGAAGAAAGTCATATACACCTAGGATGACTCGAACTAGCCTAGAACTAACCCTTTAAGGCATCAAAAAGCGTTCTGTATGAAAGCTAAACGGAACGCAGTTTGTCCCGTATTCGCAGGCATACGCCGTATGACCACCAGACCATACGAATAACAAATTCTCAATTGATAAGTGATCATTCTTTTTGCGCAAATCATTGTTTCATTTGCGAACATAGCCTTTCGAGAAAGGCTTTGAGACCAAGCGGAATCCTCTGCCGGCCGCTTCACAGCGAGCAGGGCTCGCGCCGTCCGTGTTTTGATTTCGGCAAATCAGTTTGAGTGAATGCAAGCAACACGATTATTGACCATGAGCACAACATCCAGCTAGGCAAAAAAAACAAACATGCAATCTGCTTGAGGGATGAAGTCTTTCACTATTGTAAGTTAATTATTTTAAATTTTAAAATGTTAACTTCTAGCGTATTCTTAAACTTAGACCTCATTATTGAGGCACAAATTCAAATAAAAGCAGCCCACGCTCTCGAAGTTCTCTTTAATTAAATGTATAATTTAATTTAATAAATTATACATTTAAAAATAAAATTTAATTAAATTCTCTTCATTTAAATGTAAATGCCTGTATGGTTACAGGCATTATTAAAGGTACTGTGTTATGACTATGTTGTTGGCAATCCTGAGTGTATTATATTTTATATAGTTTTATGGTTATGTTGCGAGCCTAAGTATAGTTTTACACATCAGCCCAGTCTATTCTGTAACGTTAGTGATACGCAGAGTTGTTTTTTTTTGCACATTAATTTGACAATAAACGTGGCACACCCAGAGTCTCATTTCTGGCTACGCTAGTGGGGTGACCTATCCCTAAAGTTGATGCCACTAGAAAGGAGATGCAAACCAGAAGCTGAGCTTCGAAGATGACAAATTTTTTGACACATGGAACTGTACAATCAGAACCAAAAGTTGAGAGAAGCACATCTGCTGGAACAACTGAGACAACAGATTTACAGCATCATAGGAGGCACTGTTTTATGGTTTATTTGCTGGACCCAACGCAAATCGATGCAAATATGGGGAGACAACAAGGAGAAAATAAGAAACAGCAGAAAATCATCAGAAAATTTATGGCGAGAGGCTACGACAGAGAACAAGAGCAGTTGAATCATCAAGAAGAGGAGTCGAAAAGAAAATATGAGTACCACCAGCATAGATGTAGAATGGAGTGAGATTTGAACAGGAGAAGCAAGACGTTTCAAGAAAATATTGAGCAAAAATACTCAAGCTACCATTGGGCAGAAGCTGGAAGGGAGGAAATGTTAAGGAAAAACCTCAAGAACAGTTGTATTATTTCATAAAAAGCTACTTTGACCATATTTTGTTCCTCTTTTGTAACTGGCTTTGGATTAAAGCATCTGCTAAATGCATACATGTAAATATTACAGGTTTTTAAAATGTCAAACTACTGAAGTTTTTTTTTTTCCACTAATATTGTAAATGCTGCGCAATAACATTCAGATCAGCTGTTTCTCAATATTTGCATGGTGCAGTATTATCTCACACATCATACAGTCGTCAGTCATAATTTTAATCATTCAGATAGAATTTGAAGTGCTCAAAGCTACAAAACCTGGAGCACCCAATCCTAAAGCTAGCTGTAATGTGTTCTAAAGCAACGTTGTATTTGCACTGGTCTGCTGGATAAATTTAGATTAAATATATATAAACTTTTGACAACTGTCAGTACAAAAAAAAAAAAAAGTAAAGTGCATATTGGAAAAATCAAAGCATAAACAAACAGCAGTATGCGTTACACAAGTGTTTTGGGAGTGAATGCAATTTCCTAAAAGCCTCAATTATGCAATTCAAAGCATCTTTATCACTTAAGCATTAAGAAGACTTCTACTTCAAAAGTTTTGAATAACTTTGATAGCCAGCTAAGGGTGTATTCACACCAGGAAATTCCGCTAGTTCACTTGCTTTGGTCTGGACCAAATAAAAGGTAGATTTTTTTTTTTTTGATGTGGTTCGCTTTCACACTGCCCTTTTTGCAAGTGAACCAGAAATTGTAACCAAAAGCACACGTGTGCTAAAGGTCATCCATTCACTGGACATAAAATCTCAAGCGTACCAGAGTTTGTTTGGAACTTGAGCGCGATCCAATCGAACCAAACAAGACAGGTATGAATACACCCTAAAAGACCCAATATAAAATGCTTCCATAAACCTTGAAATTAAAAAAAATAAAATAAAATAAAATCTATTAAAAAAAAAGTTAAATCATAAAATAAACAACACAGGTTTAATTTGTTTTTATTTCAAAAAAAGGGGGAAAAAAAAATTCCTAGTGGACAAATTCCTGCCTGGCAATAATCCAAACCAGCGCTAGACAAGGCATGTGAACTTGCACCCCTCGACAAAAGCACTGTAGTACACAGCAACACTATGAGAAGATCACAATACGGAACAAATGTGAAGTCACTCAAACACAGGATAAGCATCACCTTCAATAAAAGCACTCGAATGGAAAATTTAGTCTGAAGGTTTTCCTCCATGGAATTAAATTGTAGTTCTGGGTCTGAGAAACTTAGTTTTAAGTGCTTACAGTGCAAAAGAGCAGCAGATAAGCTTAAACTAAACTGTCAGTCACCGGGTGAAGATTCTTCCTATATGACATTAAAAAGATCAACAGATCTAAAATAGTGCTCATTAACACCACCTATGAGTTGCACAAGAGATTACCATGCTGTCTCATCCATAACACGATAATATCCTCCGATTGAGTCATTGTAACAAGTAAAAATAAAACAAAACAAAGCTAACCGATGAGGACATAGGAGCACTACATTAATTAAAAGTTACTCCACAGAAGACAAATGGCGCATAATGGAGGCACCCACCACTGATGGTCCAAAACAACTGCCTCCAAGTACAGAACAAACACAAAATGATATGGGCTCATTCAGCAAACTACTGGGCAGAACTCCTGTCCACAGTGAAACATGACATTTTACCTACATGGAAGATGCCGTCTTTACCAGATGGAATATCAAAACATATGGCTGATTTGCATTTTTTACAGTGACCAACACAGACATGTTGGCATGGGCAGGAGGAAAAAATATACATGGATGACATGTTGTCATAGACAGACAAACAGGCAAAAGAGAGCAGTTGCACATGTACATGCATAAGCCCAAGAGATTTTATCCAAGATGGTACACCTAAAATTTGGAAAAAGCAGGGCCAAAAAATAATTTTGCACACAAGATGGAATAAAGCACAATATAAATACACCATGTTTAGTCCCCTTGGGCGCATTTTAAAGAGAAGGAAAAAAAAACAAACAAAAAAAAAAAGTAACAACTTTCCAAATCCTTTATGTCAGACAATATTCTGTAAAACAGAATCTCTAAAAATGTCTGTCATGCACGGTCATGGAACAATGTACATGGTTTTAAACACACAAGTGTGCACTGCTCTCAGAGTTGCCTCACATACACTGATGCTAAAGAAATCTAGCGCATCCTGTACTCTGAAGTCTTGGACACCTCACAAAGCTGACCCTTGAAGTCAAGGTCAACGGTAAAGTCCAGGTCTCTCTGGAAAATAGGGGAAAAAAGAAAGGTATACGTAATTATGAATATCCACTTAATGGTCAGGGAATGTGAACCATGCATAGATCTGTAGAACCGTACCAACATCCTCTTATTGACAACTTATGACATTCAAGAGGTTTAATTTAAAAACTAAAACTGTAAAGTAGTGAAAATCTTCATATTGCTGCTACTAATATTCAGCAAAAATTAAAGGCATGAAAAGAATTTACTTTTGATGCTTGTGTTTTAAGTTATGCTGCAACAATGCTCTACTGTTTATAGAAATATCACTTTTGTTATAGTTTTAAAAAAAAATTATACACTACCATTCAAAAGTCTTGGGTCAGTAAGTATTTTTTTTTTCCAATTGAAAAATTAACATCAGCAAGGATGATCAAAAATGACAGTAAAGACATTTACATTACAAAAGACTTCTATCTCAAGCAAATGCTGTTTATTAGACTGATTTCTGAAGGATCATGTGACTAGAACAATGGCTGCTGAAAATTCAGCTTTCCCAGAGGATTAAATTCTTTAATATCAAAATAGAAAAGTTTAATTATAAATTTCACACAGGGTTCCCACACCTTGGTTAACTTCAAATTCAAGGACCTTTCAAGGACTTTCCAGGTCCAATACCCTCAAACTCAAGGACTTAATATGGGGACACATTTCAAGTGAGAGCAAGGTTACATCGTATTACCCTGTATGATACATTGTTACAGTTTTCATGTGTCAAAACCATGCAAAAAAGCTTCTTTTTTTTGCATTTATTTTAGACCATATGACAGAGATCTGATATTCTATTTGTCGTGTTTCTGTTTTGCATAAAACTGAAGAATATTCAGTACATTCTATAATGTATTCTAAAATGATCTGATATTAACTTTTGCATGGATTTTATTGAAAAGAGTTTAGGCTCATGTAACCAGAAGATTTAGGATATATGAATATGCTTTTCATACACAATATAATAAGTTTTCCTTGCCTCATGGGTTTACATTATCTTAACAAGCAAAGCAATTCAACATTAATTTCACGGTGTGTCTGTGAAACTTTGAGGTACCATCATAGTAGGTTTCATGCGCGCGTGAACGTAATGGCAATGTACAACACAAAGTACCTCACGCGGGAAACACTTAACGTAACGCGTAAATGCACGTAACTAACATAAATCAAGCAAGCTAGTTTGCATAGGCCACGAAGTGTTGGCGAAATAATACATTAGCGGACCAGAGGGAATAATATGGATTTTTTTCCAGAAAACTTCTTGCACAAAATAAATTCAAGCACTTTCAA